AAATGATTCCAATGTACGCGCCAGACAAGCTTGTTGACCCACCTGCATCAGGGTCTTCACGTTGAAGGCCTCCAGATTCAGTGATTGACGAGGCTTTAGAATCTGCGAATCGTTTCGAGATACATTACTTACAGTGCTACCTGGCAACGACCTTTGGCGAGCGACATCCAAGCCTCAGTATGGTCAAGGGAGAGTGTCAAGGGTTGCGGCTGGTCACATTCCCTTGCACGTCACGAAATGCTCCCATATCACCAAGCATCTCAAACAGCCTCTGCTGAGGAAGCCCTACTCACTGCCTTCTCGTGGCGGAAGTGTTTCCCACCAAAGTGAGAGAACCAAAAGCCCATATCCGGGGCTATAATAAGGTTGGTGGACCACTGGTAGTTCACCCACGGGAGTTGGCTAAAAACCCTGATTACAAACCAACCAAGAAGAGGCGTACGAACCACACCCACACCTTTCCGGTTGTGGCAACGATCGCCGACTCCATTGGGTATCGAGGTATATTGGGCCCCTTGGACGTTTGAGATCATCTGAAGGCCGTATGATCCGATGCGCTGGACACCGGCTCCCAATGGATTGCGGTTTTCACAAGCCGCCCAGCTGCCTTGCGGTCCAGGTTTGGCTAGCCGAAGGCTTTGGTTGTGAATTCCTCAAAAAATCCACCTGCCTTGGCCTGGGAAACCTGGCAGTATTCAGCCCACAACCCAATCATGGAACATTTTCTTTTTTTATAAAGATTATTGTACCATGATTTTCTTGGCACACAGTCTAGCCTCAGACAAGTGTGAAATGTATATATAATATAATGCTTGAGGGACTATTACAGGGGAGGAAGGAGAAGGCTCGGTGCTGAAGACAAAGAATTAAACAAAAGTTGGAATATCTGAGAAGTAGCCCACTTATCATTACCCACCCAGCTCGATGCAATGGGCAGCGCGGTCCNGACCTAGCTGCATCAAAGTTCTCACGTTGAAGGCCCCCAGATTCAGTGATGAACGAGGCTTTAGAATCTGCAATCCATTCTGTGGTAAATCACTTACAGTGCTATTTGGAATGACCTTTGGCGAGCGACATCCAAGTTGCTTGAGGGACTATTACAGGTCGGTAGAAGGAGTAAAGGGAGAGGATTGGGAACGGAAGACGAGTTAAACACAGGTTGGGATATCTGAGCAGTAGCTCACTTATCACTACCCACCGCGCTCGATGGCAATGGGCAGCGCGGTCCTGATTATCCTGCGCGACGATCGATGCAGTATGAAATTATTTTTATTTTGTGTATGCATTGGGGTTCGGCACACGGGTACTGCTAGGGTGTCAAGCCACTAAGCAGGAGAAAGATTAGGGTTCTCGTCCAAAAGTTTTAGTTCTAACGAGAACCTAACCGCAAGGCAGCGGGTGAGGCGAGGTGGAGACCCCTATACTTGGAACAATTACTCCTCCACAGCTTTTTATCGATTGAAACGCCAAATTCCAGGCGAACCGCCAACCTGGAGGACCAGGAGACTGAACTTCGTCTGACCTCTACCCATTGACCTTCCAGGCATTATAAGATCTCCCGGCTTGATAAAGCCATCCTGTGTACCTCGTTTGGTCACAGAGGTGCACAAGCCATCACACCACGTCAAGGTGCAGTCTCGTCGTGATGGCCATTCACTGTTCCTACACATCAACGGTTCGGACACAAATGAGTAATTCGAGTGTCTAAAACGCAACCAATAATTGAGTTGTGGTTTAGTTGTCTCCAAACAACTTTCGAACCTTGGTCAGGTTCAGTATCGGTCATGTCTGGCGCCGTATCTGCGAGGGTTGTTGTTGTATATATACATTATATATATAGCCGTTGCTCTATATGCTGATGTCTCACAAACTTAAACAAAAGCTCGTAAACAGTCTAATCACACCTGAAAAGTACTGGTCAGTAAACCAAACACATAAATACCGCTTGAGTCCTGTGCATGGCTGTCAAGTTAAAATAACTTCCAAGAGTAATGAACTCGCGTACACGAGAATAATGCAATGCTTAGATAGATATTTATTTCTGTCTGGTTATACACTTCCAGTTATCCTCACAATAGTCACATGACACCTGAGATGCATAGTGAAAAAAGCACTGCAAAAGCAGGAGCAAGGCGAAAGAAGAATGTTGTAGTGCCTTATACTGACTTAGAATAGGGAAGAAATACGTTCGAATAAATGTACATGGAAGGTGTACTGCCATGGACTGTCAAAAACGGGTGTCAGTGAACCATATGATAGACTAATTAATATTTCATCAAGCGAGTTTCGTTATTCAATCAATCACTGTCATCATCATCATCATCATCCCCGATTCCCTTATCCCGAATCGTTTTGATTCCTTTTCTTCTACTGTCCAACGTGATTCCGGATTTGATTGTATCCGGTGGGTTGGATAAATCACCCGAATACCGGATCACTTGACCGACAGCGAGACGCCATTCCATCATGGCCGTGGAAAACTCATCGTGACCACCCAAATCATCAAAGCCAACAATCCGATCACAAATCTGTTCATTTTTGACGAGAATAAGGGTGGGAATCACAAACACATTCAGTCTTTGTGTGAGAAACGGTGCTTTTTCTGCGTTGATTTTGCACATACGGCACTCGATGTGTTTCGGAGCCAGGAGGGTCAAATGTTTGTCCACAATTTTGCAACGAAATGTCGCATCACGATAGAAGTGACAAACCAGACCATAGGTGGACCGTTTACAGGCGGCAAAAAATTCCTTCTCATTGGCCAATTCAGAGTACGAACCATGACCAGCAGCTAGCCATTCGTTGCGTTTCTGATTCTCTTCTTTCATTTGTTTCAATCGACGAAGACGAATAGTTTCCAGATCATCTTCGTTCAAATTGTCCAATCGATTGATTTCTTCATCTAATGTTTCTTCTAGAACCTGTGCCGCTTTTATGATATGTGACTCCAAAGCCTGTTCTGGTATTGCTGGTCTTGATGGTTGAGACATGGAGCTAAAATTCAAATAAGAGTGACAAATGATAAACATCTGAGATGCATGGGATGTGAACTACTGCGACTCAGAAATAGAAATAAAAATATCCAACGAAAACAAATGTTTACAATGGATGTCAAATCCCTATTCTCAAATGCTCCACTGCATGAGACCATCAGGATTATTTGTACGACAATTGAGGAAAACAAATTGCAGGTCAGGTAACCCATCAGTGAATTATCATGACTGCTACTCTTATGCACGTCAAATATTACATTTTCGTTCCTCGGACAAGGATATCGGCAGATAGATGGGGTCACCATGGGTAGTTCGCTGGGGTCGATTCTTGCAGATATTTTCCTTGGTCACCTAGAAAAAAGCTGGAAGAAGATATTTCAAAACTGCCGTTATGTTGATGACGTTTTCGTTATAAGCCATATGAAGGCAGACGGGGAAAACCTATTTAATGACTCAACACCATTCACCCCGACATCAAGCTAACTCGTCACGATGAACAGGAAGACCGCATCAAATTTATAGATATAAACATTAATCGTAGACCAGATGGATCAATTTAAAAATCAGTCTTCCGGAAGAATACGTGGTCAGGGCAATATTTGCATTTCACGAGTTCCATCCCCGTGCGAGACAAAAATTGGTTTCGTTCGCATAGTATTTCATCGAGCGCGTGAAATATGCTCAGAGGACTATTTAAACAACGAAATTGACCTCTTAAAAAAGTTATGTACACAAACAGATATCCATTTGCAATCATCGTCAAACATTGCAAAGCAACACCAAAAGTAGAAACACCAATAACTGCTCCCAAAATGAAAGCGTTTTTGAGGTTATCATACAAAGGCAATGACGTGATGGATTCGTCAGCAAGTGGCTGAACTCTGCCGTCAAGCGTGTCTACCACGCAGTTGACCCGGTCATTGTCTTCACTACCACTCGGATACCATTGAAATCGACGAAACAACTATTGCCCCCCTCCCATCTGGCAAATCAAACTGCGTTTTACCAATTCAACTGTGGATGCTCAGCCATCTACATAGGTAGGACAGAGAGGCAGTTACGTCACCGATGATGCCCAATTGAACCGGCGATCACTGCCGCTATCAGGAAGGTGTGTGTGGTACTTACACATCTTCTTGGTTGGTTTGTAGTCAGGGTTTTTAGCCAACTCCCCTGGGTGAACTACCAGTGGTCCACCAACCTTCTTACAGCCCCAGATATCGACTTTTCGTCTTCTCACTTTGGTGGGAAAACACCTCCGCCACGAGAAGGCAATGAGCAGGGCTTCCTCAGTAGAGGTTGTTTGACACGCTTGGACATATAGGAGCATTTCGCGGGGTGTAAGGAAATGGTGACCAGTTATAATCCACAACATTCACCCCGACCATACTGAGGCCAGCCTCACCAAACTAAATGACTACTTATCTTTGTCGAAGGTTGACACACCTAGCGGGAGACTTCTTTTGACAGTAGAGGAGACAGAAAATCTTAGAGGGGATTTGAAAGGAGAGCTACTATAGGAAACGTTTCGAGATAATTAAAGACCAAAGAAGCAAAAGGCCTAAATCATCAATGACCAAAATAAGTAAGTAGTTCCTTGTATCACCCAGGTATCACGAGGATGGTCCACTTTGTTTGATCTAAAAACCTCCATCTATAATGTCCGGCTAACCACGTACTCCTGCTAGAGTTATGCTGAACTTGAACAAAACTCTGCGACCGCCCATCAGAATGATTGATTGAAACTGCACGATCCTTCGAGAGAAATTACAAAGTTTTCTTACCTTGATATACCCACAATCAGCACCTTCTAACAACTGCTGACGAATATTGCCGCCTACTGTTTGCTTTCCCCGTTCTTATATTCTACGTTTGTCAACTGTTCTAAATATAGGGCATTTCACATTCGTTCTTTTCGATAGAGGAACTACATGAGCGATAGCATCGATATGCTTGCCGCTCATCTTTTGGTTGACTGTTCCCGGTCTTGTCTTTCCGAAGCGATACGATAAACCATCGAAATACCACCCCATGATAAAGGAAGTCGAATTTGTCACTGGCAGGCCAGCACCAAAAAGATTACCAATGGAAGTTGCTCAGTGGCAACCTCACAACCGACCTCTCTATATTACCATCAGCACCATGCTCTAACGAACTGAGCTACTAAGCCTCCTACCGGACCTCTCTACACTGATTAAGCGACGCAGGATTTACTCATAACTGATGACGAAAACACGAACTTATCGACGAAAACGACATCACCTCCGTAGAGCATACTGTCTCCAACCCAGATCATTCAACAACATTGATACAATGAGTACATCCAAACAACGCATACGCTTTCGAACTCCTCAGTATGGTCAAGGGAGAGTGTCAAGGGTTGCGGCTGGTCACATTCCCTTGCACGTCACGAAATGCTCCCATATCACCAAGCATCTCAAACAGCCTCTGCTGAGGAAGCCCTACTCACTGCCTTCTCGTGGCGGAAGTGTTTCCCACCAAAGTGAGAGAACCAAAAGCCCATATCCGGGGCTATAATAAGGTTGGTGGACCACTGGTAGTTCACCCACGGGAGTTGGCTAAAAACCCTGATTACAAACCAACCAAGAAGAGGCGTACGAACCACACCCACACCTTTCCGGTTGTGGCAACGATCGCCGACTCCATTGGGNTTGAGATCATCTGAAAGCCGTATGATCCGATGCGCTGGACACCGGCTCCCAATGGAGTGCGGTTTTCACAAACCGCCCTGCTGCCTTGAGGGTTAGTCTTTGATTAGCCGAAGGCTCCGGTTGTAGATTCCTCAAAAAATCCATCTGCCTTGGCCTGGGAAACCCGGCTGTATTCTGCCCACAAGCAAATAGTGGGACATTTTTCTTTTTTATAAAGATTGTTGTACCGCAATTTGTTCGGCATATAGTCTGAACTCAGACGTGCGTGAAATAATATAAATATATAAACAACGCATACGTCGATGCAATTTGTGGAAAATGTAAAGCGTGACATTATTCTACACGCACATGTTTTGTGTACGCCGCACGGCATTTAGCCTATTTTAACGAGTAAAAGCCGTTCGAACTCGGAGATAAAGCCAATCAGGAATGAAATGACAATAGGGATAAGTCAAGCCGGACCTCGATAGGTCTTAAGTAATGAAGGACTGCTTTGCCAGTGAATATCAAAGTACAGTATTCTACCGGTCTACTCTCTTAGTGTTCATAACAGATCTCACAGTTCTCCGATAAGATACATCCTCTATTGCGAAACAAATCCTTGTCTTCGTTGATACCAGAGTCTCTTTCTGATACTTGAAATAAGAGCTATAAAGGCTGTTTTAGCTCCACTTGAACCGTGCAAACATCTATCGACAGAAACCGATTTAACTAGATGTAACTACTACCACCAAAATGGCAAACCGGCAGCCTATTTCGGACTCAGTGGCAGGGTGGTACTATTCATTCGGAGAAGAGGTAGCTCTTGTAACAGAACAATCCAATGGGTGCTGGATGCAGTAACGAATTAGAAACTGACTAATCTAGTGACTGATCAGCGTTCCATTGCTCTCACGTATAACAAGCATCAAAGTAGCAAGACACTATTGGTGAGCAGAGCTATCTTCTTTCCGCTACGATATGTTTCATCGTCTAGGAGAAGATAATGATGCTGATGAAGCTTTTCTGGTTCAATGAAAGTCACAATCCAGGTCCGGTGAATAATCTACATTATTGTTTCGGTTGCAGATTATACAACCAATAACTATACACTTCGGTGCTGTGGTTTTAATTGCCTATTTGGATAAATAGAGAAGATTTGTAGTAATAAGGTACTTTCACCTTTTGGCTACGAGTCTTCTTGGACTAAAAGCAGGCATTTTACCAGGTGAAGCTTACTTATTGACGCTCAACTGCGGAATGGTCACATCATCATCATCATCATCGTACAGCGTAATACAGTGAAGCGAACTTCACTGATCGCTGCCAATCTCATAATGCATATAAAGTAAGCGAGAATTTTTAAGGAGGACAGGAATTGAGCTTAATTTTAGAGACGGGAAAAGAAAGCGAACCCCTATGGTCAACACAGAGTACACAGTCCAACTGCGCATACATACCACTTCAAGCATTCTGGTCTGAAAAGAAGTGACAGCATGATCGCCATTGCTATCGGTTCGCAGCCATGACCTTCAATGTCTCCAACCATCCAGTAACGGAGTCTTTTGGACCCCAACCCGAAAGACGAGAGACACCTACTCTACCTAATCGTTCTGTGCATTTCTTAATGCCTCATCTCCACGCCATCTGCTGGCCTCCACGTGGCTTTCTCCTGCCTGTAACAGCCACTGCAAACAAGGCGCGCTGCGGCAGGCAACCGTCGGACATACGCAAAACGTCCTAACCAACGGAGTCTATTGAGCTTAATTCGATGCGACAGCGAGTTCGTGTTTGATGCATTCTCAAATTCCCGACGATTTACTTCTAGGTTACTAACCCGCTTACCCCATCTTAATTGAGCCAGACTACGTAAGCATCGATTGTCGAAAGCCATTAGGCGACGGATGTCTTCTACACGAAAATTCAAGGCCTCACAACCATAAAGCAGAACTGATCGCACAGCGGCACAGTATACGCGACTTTTCAACTTTAGTGACACGTCACGTCGCCACCACAGGTGTTTCAGTTCTGCGTACGTTGCTCGAGCCTTGGAAATTCGGGTGGTTATCTCCGTTGATGCGCTACTGTCGTTTGTCACGCAGTCAACTTCAGCTTATTCCTGACCGTCTAGTTTCATAGCAGAACTCGACAACACTCAGTCTTGTAGATATCCAGATATCCAATGCCTCGATCGGGCTACCGCTTCAGATCCACAAGCAACCTTCGCTGCGAAGTGCATTGCTCGGCTAATCTGATCCCACTGTTCGTTTACACTACCACCCCGCAGTGCATTTAACTCGCCCTAGTTTTTATTCAAAACGGGCACGAACGGCTGAGTCAGATAAA